GAAAGGGGAGCCGGACCCCGGGGAGCCTGTCGCGTGCAGAAGGGCCCCTATGCAGCGGGGCGGTTCCCGGATCTCTGGGCTGGAGAAGCAGAGATAGAGAAGGGCGGGTCATGAGGAACAGCTGTGTGTATGGGAGAGAGAGAGAGAGAGAGAGGGGCAGTGTGGGCCAGGGCTGGCATGATATTTATGAGGCCTAGTTCAAATATATGGAGATACATGGATTGGGAGTGAGGCCTATTTACGTGTTTTTATCTGTCTATCTATCCCCATCCACCCCATCATCTATCTATCATTTATCTATCTATCTGCATTACACCTAGCATCTATCTATCTATCTATCTATCTATCTAGCCGCATCACACCTAGAATCCAACTAGCTATCTATCTATCTATCCATCCCCATCCCCATCCCCATCCCCATCCCAATCCCATCTATCTATCTATCTATCTATCTATCTATCTATCTATCTATCTATCTATCTATCTATCTATCTATCTATCTATCTATCTGCACCCCCTCTATCTATCTATTTGCGTTAAAAAATGGCACAGAAAACCCATCCAAATTCACTATAAAACTTGAACTCAAGCCACGATCCACCCCGGTAACGTCAGTAACACTCTCACAATTGTCGCGCCGGCCGTTAGCCCGCTGTGCCTGACGCATGAGCCCGTCTCTCTAGTTTATCCAACCACGTGCACGTGACGGGCTTCGTTAGGGAGCTTGGTTCAACATGGCCACACGTATTTCAGCCTTATTGGCCTCCGTAAGGAATATTTACTCCTACAAAGCAAATGTCTTGTGATAGACTTGGAATTCATAATCCTTATTGTTTTAATCTGTCATAAAATTCATTGTCTAATTCTCTCCATGGGAGCAGAGCATGGAGCGGGGCCAGTTGTAAAGCGCAGGGCCATGTGTGGGGGGACTGATGGCACGCGCCTCCCGCCGGCCCTGGCGGGGACAGAGCTGGGGATGGGCACAGCACAGACAGAGCAAAGGAAGCTTTGCATCAACCTGACAGTCTTGCTTCAAACCCAGCCTTCAAGCGTGCCTAGCAAAATCATGGGCTTTTTAGGCAGCTTAGCCCATCATCACTCTGCCCAACATCTCTCCTCATTTCCTGTCTGTCTGTCTGTCTCCCCTTGCCTTAGGACTGGGAGCACTGGACTGGCGCTGCCCAACGTCTCTCCTCATTTCCTGTTTGTCTGTCTGTCTCCACCTACCCACTGCCCCCCTCGCCTTAGGACTGGGAGCACTGGACTGGCCTGCTAGAGCCGAAAAACACTCCAGTGCGGATGCTGCTTATCCCCAGCAAGGCAGATTTAGCCCAAAGCTGAATGATGCTGGCCAAAATGCGGCCTTCCTGGTCTAACTGGGTCTATGCCAGCAGCTTCTGCTGACACTAGGGGGGATATGATAGAGGTCTATAACATCATGACTGGTGTGGAAAAAGTGAATGAGGAAAAGTTATTTACTTATTCCCACAATATAAGAACTAGGGGTCACCAAATGAAATGAATAGGCAGCAGGTCTAGAACAAACAAAAGGAAGTTTTTCTTCACTCAGCGCACAGTCAACCTGTGGAACTCCTTGCCAGAGGATGCGGTGAAGGCTAGATAGATTCAAAAAAGAGCTAGATAGATTCATGGAGGTTAGGTCCATCAATGGCTATTAGCCAGGATGGGCAGGAATGGGTCCCTAGCCTGTTTGTCTGGAGATGGATGACAGGAGAGGGATCACGTGAGGATTACATGGTTGTGTTCCCTCCCTCTGAGGCACCTGGCATTGGCCACTGGAGGAAGACAGGACACTGGGCTAGATAGACCATTGGTCTGACCCAGTCTGGCCGTTCTTATGTTCTTATGTCTGTAAAATGGGGGTAATGATACTGACATATCAGGAATGTGGGGAGAGGGTGAAATTGTTTGGAATTCCCAGTCATTGATTTAGGGGTGTGTGTGTGCGTGCGTGCGTGTGCGTGCGTGTGCACGTGTGTGTGTGTGTGCGCATGTGCGTGTGTGTGTGTGCGCATGTGCGTGTGCGCGTGTGTGCGTGCGCGTGTGCATGTGTGTGTGCGTGCGTGTGTGTGTGCGTGCATGTGCGTGTGTGCGTGTGTGTGCGTGTGTGCGTGTGTGAGTGTGCGTGTGTGTGTGTGCGTGTGTGCGCGCGTGCGTGCGTGTGTGTGTGTGTGTGTGCGCGCACACGCGCGGGGGGGATTAGGAGCAGACAACTCTGTGTAGCCATTGGCCTCATCTGCTATTTTCTTAAACAGACGCACAACAGAGGCAAAATGCTTCAGGTCCCTTGGTTTTTTAATGCGTCCTTTCGGGACAGCACAGTGCAGTCCACCTTCAGCCCTCTTCCTCGCCACGCTGGGGCCCAGCAGCCTCCTCCTCCTCTTCCTCATCCCTGGCCTCCCCTGGCACGTCCTGCCTCTGGCTGAGGTTGGAGAAGACAGAGTCCCATACCTCCTCCAGCTCTCTCCGCCGCTCCTCGTACTCCTCCTTCTCTGCCAACGGGTTGCCCTCCAGCCAGGAGGTGGTCTCCTCACACATCTCCGACACCCTCTTCTTGGCCTGCACATCCAGGGCCCGGACTCCCTCCGCAGCCCGCTTCAGGTGGAGCGTGCACGCCTCCAAGGAGTTCATCGCTTCGATCTTCTCCTGCTGGGCCCCGTCTTGGGCCCTGTGTTCCTCAGCCTCCCTCACCATCCTCTCCACCTCCTCTCTTTCCAGCCGGCCCCTGGTGTCGGTGATGGTGAGCTGGCTGGTGTTGCCCGTGTCCGTGTCCCTCGCCGACACAGTCAGGATGTTGTTGGCGTCGATGGAGAAGCTGACTTCGATGATGGGCTCTCCACGCCGCGACGGGGGCAGGCCGCTCAGCATGAAGGTGCCCAGCAGGTGGTTGTTTTTACTCATGGGTCGCTCCCCTTCATAGACCTCGAACACAACCGTATCTTGGTCGTCTTCCGCCGTGGTGAATTCCATGGTTTCCTTGGTGGGGACCGGAGAGTTGCGTTTGACCACGGTGGCCATCACCCCTCCGACCGTGTCAATCCCCAGAGACAGCGGGGTCACGTCCAGGAGGAGCATGTTCTGCAGACCCTGCGACCGGTTGCCTGTCAAGATGGCCGCCTGGACAGCCGCCCCGTAGGCCACGGCCTCGTCTGGGTTGATGTTCTTGCTCAGCTCCCGCCCGCTGAAGAACTCCTGCAGCAAAGTCTGGACCTTGGGGATGCGGGTTGAGCCTCCCACGAGCACGATGTCATGGATCTGCTCCTTGCTCACGTTGGCATCCCGCAGCGCCTTCCCTAAGGGCTTCAAGGTGGCCTGGAAGAGGTCGGCGCACAGGTCCTCAAAGCGGGCCCGGGTGACAGTGGTGTGGAAATCCACCCCCTTGTACAGGGAGTCGATGGAGAGGGCGGCAGCGGTGCCGGAGGAGAGTGTGCGCTTGGCCCTCTCGCAGGCCGCCCTTAGCCTCTGCATGGCCTTCTTGTCCTGGCTGAGGTCCTCCTTGTGTTTCCTCCTGAACTCCCGCACCAGGTGATCCACCAGCTGGTTGTCAAAGTCCTCCCCGCCCAGGTGAGTGTCCCCTGCCGTGGCCTTCACCTCGAAGATGCCGTCGTCCACCCTGAGGATGGACACGTCAAAGGTGCCGCCGCCCAGATCGAAAACGAGGATGTTACGATTCCCTCCCCCTTCCCTGCTGGCCTCCAACCCATAAGCAATGGCGGCCGCGGTGGGTTCATTGAGGATCTTCAAGACATGGAGGCCTGCAATCGTCCCGGCATCGATGGTGGCCTGACGCTGGGAATCGTTGAAGTAGGCTGGCACCGTGATGACGGCCTGGGTGACGGGGCAGCCGAGGTAGGCTTCTGCCGTCTGCTTCATCTTGGCGAGCACCATGGCGGAGATCTCCTCAGGGTAGAAGGTCCTCTCCTTCCCCTGGAAGGACACCTGCACCTTGAGCTTCCCGTGATCACTCACCACCCGAAAGGGCCAGTGCCTCATGTCTAGCTGCACCAGGGGGTCCTCAAACGTGCGGCCAAGCAGCCGCTTGGCATCAAAGACGGTGTTCTGGGGGTTGAGGGCCACCTGGCTCTTGGCGGGGTCCCCCACCAGGCGCTCCGTGTCAGTGAAAGCCACGTAGCTGGGCGTGGTCCGGTGGCCGTGGTCATTGGCGATGATCTCCCCCTTGCCCTGCCGGCACC